AGTTTATCTAGCACTTTCAAGTGTTCAAGTGTTACACAGACTTTCTTGTAATCTTTCTATAAGATAGGTCAGTATTATCCTCATTTTGCAGAATAAAACCTGAGGCTGAAAGAATGCGGCTTGGTCAGGGCTATTCTGAGGAGCCCAGGTGTTGGCATGAGATCTGTGTTAAACAAGCTTCCCAGCCCCATCCGGAGCTCCCTTCCTGCTGCCCTGTTTGGGTGCACTGTTGATATAAACATCATTTTAATCTCCTAAAGGAAGAACCTTTCCGGCCTCTTGTGACCTCAGAATAAATAGCACAGAATTATTCATTCTGCAAGTAGAAGCCTAACAGCTGTCCTGCATGCCACCGGAGTGTTTCAGAGCAGATACTTGGAATTCAACTGTTGGCTTAAATTAAAATGTGCGTTCAAGAGAGAAGTGGGGTGGAAGTGTAAAGTCCCCTCTAACTCTTGGGGCAGGACTTACCTCTGCTGTGTACTGGAGGCTTGGCTTCTTTAGTGTAGTTCCTTTCGAGAACAAACTCTTCTCTGTGTGAATTTGTAAAATAGGCCCAGTCACAAAGATGCCAGTAACAGTCTTAACTACCAACATGGAGGAGCCCGGAGACTTCTTGAAAGGAGTGTGAAAACGGGTGTGGTATTTTTGGAGGGATGCTGCTGAATCGGGGAAGCTCAGAATCCCCAACAAACAGAGGTGCTCTTTTCATGGGCTCCCAAAGGGCAGGAACAGGGTGCGACACTGGAAAACTCCTGCTAAGGGGAGGAGAGGGTCCCTGTCCCGGCATCTCCGCGGCCTCCATTCTCTCTTGAAATCTCGGCCCATGAAAAGCTCGATCTTGGCCATGAAGATCTCGGTCCACGGCTATTTTGGAGCTTAAGGAGAATTCCTGTCTTGCCTGCTACATGTCTTGTTTGTAAATATAACCATATCAGCTGGATCTCCATGTTGTTTTTTTTAAAATGGCCCTCCCCCAGGTCTGTGCGCAAGTGAGGGAAGGGTGGACCACAAAGCAGAGGCAGGGGACCTCTGGGCCAGGGCAAGGGGGTGCCTGCAGACTCGCCCCACCTGCCTTCCCGAGCAGCAGCACCTTGGCACCTGGAGGCCCAGGAGAGCATGTGCCGCCGTGACGGGGGACCTTTGTGGGGTCGCAGCCAAGGAGGGGAGGGCAAGCCCAGCCTCACCCCTCAGTGCCTCAACCCCTTCTCTGGGCTTTCAGAGGCTGTCCACGGTGCGGAGGGCAGGGAACGCCAGAATGAGCAAGCGGGCAGGGGAGCAGTGCCCCCGAGCGTTGCTTCTGCCCACTTCCTGCACATCCCCGCCTGCCTGTGGCCCTTGAGCCCGAGACGCTTCCGCACCCCCTCCCAGAACACGTGGCGCACTCAGGGTTCTGCCACCCAGAACATGGGAATGGATTCCAGCGTCAGTGAGTGGCTGCAGAGAGTTGCTGGCCTACATTCACACATGAGTGTTGGGGCTCGTCTGAGCTCCCCTTGCGCTCGTTTTGCTAGAAAGGCTGAAGCGGTTCCTGCCCGTGTGAGCCACCCGCCACAGCGCATCTCCGTGTCGTCCTCCAGGGTAACCTTGGAGGGCACATCCTGGCGTTAGCATACACTGGCCTGCCCAGGAGCATGCATTTTGCTTCCTAACCATCTTCCAGATGCAAAAGTCAGACCAGGCCTCCAACAACCCCCCCCCCCCCCATGCTTTTTGCATTATCCATTCTCTTCACTCCCGGTCTTTATCCCGCAAAGTGCATTAGATAGAGGAGAACATCCAGGGATCTTTTTGTAATAACACCCTTTGGCTGGTTCATGCTATGTTAAAGAGTAAATTACTGAATTTGGTTATGTTTCCATTTTTCTTTCAGCCGAGGTGATGTTTGCATACTGGCTGCTGCCAGTCTTTAAATTAGTTTCTGAAACAGGATAAAAATAAGTTCTGGAAAAAGCTGCCTGATTCCCCAGTGTTTGGAGCACTGACGGACGCATGCTTATTTATAAGTGTAACAAGAAAGGAATCACAGATAGCCCGCTGGTTTCTTATCTGTGAGGTGAGTTACAGGCATGGCAGAATTTCTCTTGCTGCAGAGCCCTCGCCTTTGGCCTGTCCGGGCGCATCCAGCCCTTGGGCCGGGGGGACGGCGCAGAGAGGGACATTCAGAAGTGGAAAATTCCATGAAGGATGTTGAACTTTTTTAGAATCAGAGGAAACCGTCTGTGTAATTATCAGCTGGTTTCTAAAGAGGAAAAATTAGGCAAGCTGGGAATGTTGCACAACTGCCGCTGCCCTTCTTCAAAAAGGACAAATTGGGCAGCCAAGGCCTTGCATCTACGAGGCAGTGTGCTAGAGTGGTTAGAGTATTAGACCAAGATTGGGGGCGGGGGCTTCGGGTCAAGCAGGTATTCAGAGTGAAGCTTATTTGGGTGATGATAAGCTGGCCATTCCCTCTCAGCCTAGCGCATCCATGGGGTATAATAACTATCATGACTGTTTTGTTCATGGCCCCAATGCACTGCCCTTTAGCCAAAAGGCTCCCGGAGTGATGTACAGAAAGGAGCGTGGCTGTCCCTGCCCATGGGCCAAAGGCATAATCGATATTATAGTGCTCTGATCACCCTGAAGGAAGGGTGAGGTAAAGGTGTAAATTGCTGCCTCTCCTTTTCAGAGGAACCCTTTCCCGGGCAGGAGGTGTTTTCTGCCTCCTGGGATCTTTTTCCTTCAGCGTTGGGAGAGTCAGTCGGATCATGCAGGAATACCTTTGCAGAGCATCGTTCAGCCTTGAGGGCAGAGATCCTGGGGAGATCCTGAATCCAAGAGCTGCATGGAAGATGCACACCCAGGGCACCTTACTTTGCTGTGGGTTTTCAGTGCATTCCTACACCCACGTGACCGGCAGTTGCCCACAGGTCGTGCCGTGCACGTGCCCCGTGGCCTCCTAGTTGCACTGGTGGCACTTTCTCCCAAGAAATTTCTTCTGCGTCTTCCAGCGCAGTGATAAGTGAGACCCATATGGCTTCTTGCTGCAGCCTCATCAAGAACATAGGAAATAGAATTCTGGAAAGGGTATTAATTTTTCTAGCTTTTCCTTGTGCATATTTAGACATTGCCAAAGACATGAAGGAGGATTCTCCCGTCAGTATCTTATGCCGGGCTGGCTGTGCACTTTGCAGTAATCTTTCCAAAGCCCTCAGGTCGTACTTTAATAAGTGTCTGCTTTGTAGACAGTGGACACATCCTGCAGGGCATCGGTGCATCATTGCTGCTGTGCCCGCCTGAAGGTTTTCTTTGCACTGTTTCACTTCTGCTCTGGATTGCTGCTGAGCCTATGAAGGTCCTCACCCCCAGGTTATACTGGTTCAGCTCGTACCTGGACAACTGTTTCCAGAAGGCAGTGCTGGGGGATTTTTGATTGGCCCTTTGGCATGTATTCTTGAGGGCCCCACAAGCTTCGATCTTTTCTGCCATGCTCCATGAGGAAGGTCATTTAGAGTTTGGTATTGTCAGTTCCTCTTTTTCTTTGGATGCAGGTGAAGCAGTGGAAAAATTCCTTGGTTTCTAGCCATGATAACGGTCTGGATGAGGCCCGGTACACTGAGGCTGCAGGCAGATAAGATTGGGGACCAGTTCTGTTTGGCACAGGTGTGTCCAGCCCATTCTGGCTGGGGTGGTGCTGTAGGGCAGTCTTTTACCTGAGGCACATGGTCTTCAGGAAAGCGTGTTTCGTGACCAGTTCAGGCAGGTGTGTCCCTTGTCTAGCAATTTCCAGCCTAAATCACAGTAATGCCTTTAAAGACCATCTGGGAGCTTAGAATTATGGAAGAGTTGGAAGGGGCCATGAAGGCCATCAAGTCCACCCCCCTGCTCTTGCAGGACACCACGTCACCATCCCACTCAGAGGGCTGCCCAGCTTCTTTTTGAATGTCTCTGTGTGGGAGAGCCCACCACCTCTCTGGGCAGCTGGTTCTACTGTCCCATTGCTCTGACAGTGAGGAAGCTTTTCCTGATGCCCAGCCTGAACCTGGGTAGTCACAGCTTGACTTGATTATTCCGTGTCCTACACTCTGGCATCAGCAAGAAAGATATTGGCCTTCCTCTTTGTGACAGCCTTTGAGGGTCTTATGGAGGGACATCATGTCCCCCTCAGTCTTCTCTTCTCCAGGCTGAACATGCCTGGGTCTCCCAGTCTGTCCTCACAGGGCAGAGTTTCCAAACCCTGGGTCATTTCTGTCACCCTCCACTGGACCCTTACCTGCATCTTTCTTCAATCTCGATGCCCAGAACTAGACACGGTATTCCAGGTGAGGTCTGCCTAGTGAGGAGTAAAGGGGAACTGCTACTTCTTGTGATTTGGAAGTATTACTTCTGTCAATGCATCCCAAAATAGCATTTGTGGTGAGAGTGCTGACATGTGCACTCTGGTGATCATCATACATCTGTCTTCCACCATCTCGGCTGGCTTCTGGCGGTTTGAGGGTTCAGTGCGGAGTGCCCATCTTAATCTACAAGGCCCTTCGTGACCCGGGCCGTGCGAAGGCCCTGGCCCTCCTTCCAAAGTTCCTTCCTGTGCCTTGAGCTATCATGGATGGCTGTTAATGAGTGGGCATTTGCCCATTGAGGGATGCCCTCCCGAGAGAGGCCCCCTGGCCCCAATTTGGAGGACTTCCCTGCACCAAGCCAAGACTGTTCTGTTCTGGGATACAAACTGGTAACAAAAAGAAACAGAAAATGGTGGCTTTCCTGAAAGGTAAAATGGGAGGAGGTGTTTTTCGGTGTTAAGGACAAGTTAGAGGCACTTCCGCCAACGTCTTGAGATCCCACCTTCATGGTCCTGCTTTCAAGAATGTCTTAGGTGCAGAATATCAGGATGGAACCACTGCAGCCTATGCAGCCCTCTCACTTTATTGAAATCTTGAACCCGACCCAGGTCTTAGCTACGTGGCAAGGCAGACATCTAACTATCATATCATTGCCTCTCACCCTTCTGCTTTCTTCAGAACCACAGAGCAGATCCTGAGGAACTTTTCACAAAACTGGAGCGCATTGGGAAAGGTTCGTTTGGAGAGGTCTTCAAAGGGATCGATAATCGGACGCAGCATGTGGTTGCCATAAAAATCATAGACCTTGAGGAGGCTGAAGATGAAATAGAGGACATCCAGCAAGAGATAACTGTTCTAAGCCAGTGCGACAGCCCCTACGTAACGAAGTACTACGGTTCATACTTAAAGGTAATGTACACTTTTGCCCCACGTGTACTGGATGGCCTTTGGAGGCGCAAGTGGTGTCTTGAGGAGGGAGAGTCTGTGGGAGGGGGGGCTGCCAGGGTTTTTATCCGTTGAAGTGGCCACATTTTGGAGACCAAGGAGAGGGTTTGGGCCTGGCACGTTGTGATTGTCATACTCCTGTTTAAAGATTTTTTGAGTGATTTGGAATGCTAAAGGTATTTCGAGTTTTGCACCCTCTCAGTTGTTTGCTGGCTGAGTTTTCCTTCTTGTGGTGCAATTTTTACTGACTTTATGATGCATAAACTGATCTGCACGTAATGCTAAACTTGTGTGTGGGCACACTTGCCGCCTCCCTTCACCAGACCATTCGTTGCCCACAAAGGTGGCAGAAAGCATGCTTGGGGAAGAGACAAGCATGTAAAGACTTTTTAGGCTTTTGGAGACAGTCTGGAACCTTCCACTAGTTCAAGAGAAGGTAGTAAGATCGTTTCCAGGAATTGGTGGTCATGTACAAATTATTGCCAATTGCTGGGCAATTGCACTCACCTCCAGTCCGTTTCTGGGCCCATTTCAAATTGCCAGTGCTAACTTTCACAGATCTAAGCAACTTGGGGTAAGGTTAGCTGAAGGCCTATCACATATTCCTGCCTGGACATTGGCTCACCGCTATTTTTTGATCTTTAGGCACTACGTGCTGAGCCAATACATTCCCAAGTGGTTTAATACTGGTCATGTGTGAGTCTGCATTTGCCACTGACTGAAATAAGAAGCCTAGCTTGGGATGTTGACCAAGCAAATCTGCAAATGGGTCATTTTGTTACTTTGCTTCTCACTTAACGGGTTGTCAAACGGTGCGCTATCAAGCAGTACACAAGGTCTCAAGAGGACCTTTGCCTGCACAGGGGAGTGGCAATTATTTCTCTGCCTCTGCAGCGAGACCTCAGTCCTGTACTCTGGACCTGACGGTCTTCAACGTCCCCTGTCTTTCTACGCTTTCCGAAGACTCTCCCTACTCAGGAAAGGAGAAAACTCCCATTTATGGGAGCATGGATTTTAAACAGCTGTGAAAAGAAAGGTTTTCTTTTAAAGCCCTTTTACAGGCCTAAATGGGCTGGGGGGGTTGGACAGGGTGAGACGCAGACTCATAGCTGTAGATTTCCACAACGTGATAATATCCTGTGCACGGCAGAATTTACTTTCTTGGCCTGTGGTAGCCAGTAAGAAGTATCCTTGGATGCCTTGGCAAAAGCTGCACACGCCCAGTTACACTGTATAGGAGCGATTTCTTTGAGGCGTGATTGGAAAAACACAGTGCTTTTTTTCTTCTGTGTAAGCCTTTCCAAATACACTCTCGCCCTCCAAAGGTATCTGTGTGACCACAGCATCTGCTTGAAAACTGTGCTCATTGCAGGCTTTTCTTCCTGGCACAGCCGGGCCCGGGAAAGGCGCTAAAAGCAGCACATGCTTTCCTTCCCGGTTTCTGGCTGTTGGAACAGCTCTTGTGGTGTGAGTGCAGCCCACACCTTCATGACTGTCAACAAAGTACCTTCTGTTCAGTTCCTGGGCTTGGAACACAAATGTCCTGCACCTTGATTTGCTTGTTCAGGTTGTGCTCAAATTCTGGTCCGCATTTGGAAAGTGGTGATCAGTTAAAATTTAGCCTTAGGTGAGAACCCTGTCCTGAAAATCGCCAACAAACCTTTCTTTGGCATTCTGGAGTGTCTGGGGACAGCAGGGAGTCCCAGATGTGGAGTTTCCTGTCGGAGCACCTTCTTCGCTGTCAGAGCAAGCTCGCTTTCACAGGATGGAGACCTCTGTCTGCAAATGGAAGCTCACGGTCCACTTGCAGAGGCCGATGTCCCAAGGAATAAAACTTGTGATCAGAGCATTGCTGAAAGGCATTAAAGTGGCTTTTGCAGGGGGCGGTGTGGGTTCACAGCAAAGAATGCAAACTTCTGAGATGCACGGACATGTTTCTCAGGCCAGGTACTCAAGCAGCAGGGAAGGGAAATAAAAATGCAGCTCTTTTTATTTATCAGTGTTTTCTATAACAGCCTCAAGGGTAAAAGAGGTTACATGTAAAAACTTGCACGAGAACTGCCGAAGAAAATGCCTGCTAAGGAAAGGTGTCTCTGATTTCTGGCCAAAGAGACAAAAAGAAGAGCCTGGCAAATTTCATCTGTCCCAGCGTTCCAGTGTAGCGACACCAACGCAGGAAAGGCCCTGTGCTCCTTTGCCAGGTCTCTCGAGGTGATACCAAGAGCAGCTTTGATCCAAGGCAGTCCTGTGCAGGAAATTTTAACAACTAGGACCAGCACTTTGAATCTTGCGTAGCAGAAGGTAGGAAGCCTAAGTGGGAGTTACATGCTGTGCTCTGCAGCCCCAAGCAAAAGCCTGACCTCTGCTTTTTGAAGCAGTCGAAGTCTCTGGAAGCTTCAAGGGCGGCCCATGCAGGATGGCGTTGCAGCCATGCCCTGGGTGGCGGGTGCGGGCCTGCCGTCCCTGGGAGAGGCTGCAGCTGGCATGCAGGCTGCAAGGTGCTTGGAGCAGTGACCCCCACCCCCGCACGCAGGGTGTGCAGCCGACAGAGGAGACCTTCCAGAATCCCCCGAGAGAGCTCCGCAGCTCTCCTGCGGTCTGGTGTCTTTCTTGCGGGGCCTTGCTAGTACAGAGTTCCCGCCCCAGTCAGCGAGAGCTTTCTGTCCACGGTGGGATCCCCAGTTTGACCCTCATCTCACTGTTCCTGATCATCGTGGTAATAGCCGTAATGATACGACAGTTCTCAAGGGTTTGCAGGCAAGGGCTTCAGGGGCCTCCTCACTCACAAGCCTTTGCTGTGTAGCATGAAAGCCTCTGTGCCGCGTTAACAGTAGGTAATGTTCCAGTCACCTTACAGTTACTGGCGTTTTTGCACAACTCCTGCCTAAGCAAAATACAAAAAGCCATTTATGAAACTCTCCTGTTAACCGCATAGTTATTTCTTGTAGTTTCTCGCTGGACTGCAGGTCATGGTCTTTCCCCAGTTCTTAAAACTCTTTTTATAACCGCTTCAGAGGGTGGCTGTTTGCTTTTCCCAGGAATATGAGCAATAGCCTTCTGCATGTTCAGACGGAATAAAGGCCCACAATTCCCAGCTTGCCCCACTGAGCGTATCAGGCGTTGTCAGCTATTTTTCTGCCTAAACTTGCGCAGGATTTCACCTTTAGCTGCAATCCAGAGTTGCTGCCGGTAGCCTTTTGAACGTGCCGTGTCCTTTGCTCGCGGAATCATTTAGAAGGCCGAGTTCAGCAGCCTGAAAGTTTCCCCCTTCCTTGTGAGGACGAGGGACTCAGGAACAGCCTAGGTCTGGACTGCCCCCAGTCCGTCCCTGCCCCACACACCGCCGGCATAAAAGGAGCTGCACCAGTGCTGGGCAGAGAAAAGGGCCCATTGAGGGCACAGTCCCGTTGGGACCGTGGAAGGCTCTTCCCAGACGCCCCGGGAAGCCCGCCCTTTCCTGCGGCCGGCCAGAGAGCGCCTGCCAGCTGTGCAATTGTGCCCGTGGACACGTTAATGCTTGGCTCATTTTCAGCCTGAAAAATTAGAACCGGCCTGAGCAGTGCCTGCTGCCCTGACTAGGAGAGGTGTGCTTCATCTGGCCCACGTCTCACAGGACTTGGCTTTCGTAATCAGGGTGTGATGGGAATGTGGGTTGTCACGATGCCCTCCTTGCTGAGCTGGGTTTGGCCGCATGCCTGAGAAGGCACACAAAGACAGCCTTCACGTCGCGTGTGTGAGCGCAGAGCGGAGCCTAGGTTTGGGGAAACGGCTGCCAGGCCTTCAGTGAGGTGCCCGCCACATTATTGCTGAGGCGACAACAATTCACACCTCCAGGAGGAGGAAATACGATGACGTGCCCGTGTCCGTCATCGCCGTCGCCCGTGTTGGGATCTTGCCGCCTCAGGCCAGCGTTGCGAGCCAGGCTCCCGGCCTGGAGGCGCCCAGCGTGCTTCGTGGTGGCAGGTTCTCCCCTGCAAGGAATGCGGCCTGTTGAGGGCGAGCCCAGGACAGAGTTTCTCTCCCCTTCCGCCCCTCCCTTGCCTGTCTCCAAAAGCCGTGCTGGCCCAGCGCTGCCTCACCTTGCTTTCCACTCCCCGGGCCCTCTCTCGGGGGGCTCGCTCCGAAGCACGTGCTGCAGCGAGTGCTGGTGGAGCTCCTGTCTGCATCTCTCCCACAAATGGAGACCTACCCAGTGCGGGGAAAGGCTGGGGCTTTGGGGGCTGGCTGCTGAGACGGGCGCTGCCAGCGGTGCCTCCACTGCCTGTCCTCTTGGGAAGACCTCTTGACGAGCCTAATCCTCCATCTGCGTTCACTTTTAGGGCACAAAGTTATGGATAATAATGGAATACTTAGGAGGGGGATCCGCGCTGGATTTGGTAAGTATCCCGCCTGCTTGTGTGTGGCGTTTCACTTTCTAATATTGGCTCACCCACTTCACCATGAGGAGAGCAGCTTCATTTCTTAACCATTCGTAAGTTGCTGTTTATCTCAGTTGCTGCTTTATTTTTAGCTTTGCACATATCCCTGTTTGAGGAACAGATGTTGCTTCCAAGCATTATTTACACAAGAAGTCTACATCTGGGTTTAATTATCTGTTCAGAGTATAGCGAAAGTTGGACTCCGGTGGCAGGTGGCGGTCCTAGTGGGATTGCTGTAGGGTTTTTACAGCACACGAGCATTCGAGCACAGCCACCATTTTGAATGGCTTTAAAAGGGGATTGGACACATGACGGGGCAGGCATAGTCCCAATGGCTGCGTGCTGCCTCGTGTCAGAGACAGTATGCCTGGGCACACAATTTGATGGGGAACATGGGCCAGAGGGTTTTGTTTCCCACCTGTTCTGCTTGTCAGTGTCCTCTGGGCAGCCAGTTGGCTGCTGGGTGAACAAAATACTGGACGACATGGACCTTTGGTCGAGTCCAGCACAGTTCTTCCATGCTCCAAGCGTTGCAGAATTTTCTCTGGACTCTAGCTGGAGAGTTCAGCTGGCAAGTTCCACTGGGGTTGGGACATGCAATTTTGTTACTGCTTTGCAAAGAACCTTCAGGGACAAATGTTACGGACACGGTTCTCCCTTCTCTTTGCAAGAACTCCGTCTGTTCGACAACGGTGGTTTCCATTTGTAGATGGGCAGCAGGCTTAGCCGTTGTGGATCTGACTGAGACCCCCAAGGGGATCGGTCCAGAGCGCTTCCTGCTCGGCTGGCCCGCCCCTTCGCTCACAGCGCTTCGTCAGAACTGTACCTGCAGCACACCTGGCATCTCCTCGCAGACACGGGCTTGGTTGAAGGTTGATGGCCTTGCACCTTAGAAAGAGTCTATTTGAGCAGAGCGCACTCTCTGCTTTTTAGTGCTGCCATCAAAAAACAGTGCAGTTAAGAAAGTGAAAGGTGTGGTGTTTTGTTAGCTTTACATACACAAAAACGGTTCTCCTGGAAGCAGTTCCTGGGAGTGGAGCTAACAGTCTAATGTGCTAAAACTGACCTGACTTTTCCATTTTTGGCACTTTGAGTTGAGACCATGAAAGGGCCCATTGCTTATGACAAATGCGGCCTTCACGAAGGATGCCGCACAGGAGGGACTGAGGCAGCAGAAGGCGCTGGGTGGTGCTGTGTGGTTTCCCCTATCCTCCAGTCCAGCTCCACCACAGCCCTGTGTCAAAGACCCACCCTTTTCCTGTAAGAGAACACTCCTCAGTGTCTGCACTTAGAAGTTCCTGAAATATTAGCACTGAGCCTTCACGCTTTTGCTGGCTGCATGGCCAGCGGTGGCTTCATCCCGCCAGGCTCTGAGCACCTGCTTCTGCGTAGTCGTCTGCTCACAGGCCTTGCGCCCAACCGGCTGTGCTTCTGTTCCTCCCCGCTAGAATCTCGAACGCCCGGGGCAAGCCGCGCCCCACTGGTCTGAAGCCATGCGCAGTTCTGCGGCAGCCTCTGGTTGGGCCCGGGGGCAGATTGCAAAGGCGCTGCAGAGGAGTTGCTTTCCCGAAAGGCCGGCGCTGGTTAGGCATCGCTGCCAGAGTGCCCCTTTTGAGCAGCACACTGAAGTGGGGCTGGCACACATGCCCCGTGCAAGCAGCGCTGCGAACGTGCACACTTCAGCCCTCGTTGGGACAGAAGGGGCTTGCCGGCGCCCACCGCCTCTACTCCCCTCCCGGGTCCTCGCAGCCTGGTTGTCTGGAGCCGTGGCAGCCGCCGGTGCTGCTTCCAGTGGGGGGCCCTGCACTCGCACACACTTCTCGAAGGTGCCCTCGTCGGCCTCACCAAGGTTTGCTTCGGTGCAGAGGTGGGGAAACGGCAGCCTTCCAAACCCCGTTGGACTCCACCCTCCATCGCCCTAGGCTGTGCTGGTGGGGGCTGGAGTCCAAAGGCCCGTGGACGGCCACAAGCTCTGCACGATGGATGTCTTCCTGGTACTGAGGGACGAGGCCTTGTTGAGGAAAAGCGTCATCCTCGCTCACCGGAGCCGCCTTCTAATCAGACCGGCTCCGTCGACCAGTGTATGGCCACAGCTTTTTGCCCTGCAGCCTTCGTCTTCGTTCGAGCCGGTGTGGTTTGGGGGTGAAGAGCGTCGGACTGGGAGTCCAGCGAGCCGGGTTCTGGTCCCCGCCCAGCCCTGGGGTTCACTGGGTGACTTTGGCCAGCCACGGCCTCTCGGCCCCAGCAGCCTTCCAGGGCGGTTCTTGCAAGAAGTAAAAGGAAGGGAAGGAGAAGCTGTGAGCCACTGGTGCAAGCACAGTGCAGCCACAGCCGGGACGCCTCTCCTTTGCTGCACTGCGTTTGCAAGTTGTTTGTGTTATTCCTGTTGACAAACGGGGATTTGATAAGCAGTTGTGGAATGGACATGTTTAGTTTTCTCAAGGAAGCCTCATCTTTGGTAAAAGAAAAAAGGATGGCATTTTGGATTCATTGTAAATTTATGTCTTAGCAAACGGTAATGGCTAAAGTTTTCTTTTTTTTTTTAAGAACAACTTTTGAAATAATGCTTACTTTCCCTAAAGCTCCGTGCTGGCCCATTTGATGAGTTTCAGATTGCTACAATGCTAAAGGAAATCTTGAAAGGTCTTGACTATCTTCATTCAGAGAAGAAAATCCACAGAGACATAAAAGGTGTGTATAAATGTAAAGAAGCGTGAGGACAAATTCCCATTAAGTGCTCGCACCTTCTGTTTTTAAAAAGAGTTTTCCACTTTCTGCTCCTTTCAAGCTGCCAACGTGTTGTTGTCCGAGCAAGGAGACGTTAAGCTTGCAGATTTTGGCGTTGCGGGACAACTGACCGATACGCAGATTAAGAGGAACACCTTCGTAGGCACCCCGTTTTGGATGGCCCCTGAAGTCATTCAGCAGTCAGCCTATGACTCAAAAGTAAGATGCATGGAACCGGTTTGTGCTCAGGGTGATCCATTACTTGTGTGCACTTTGGAAATATCCATGTGCTGCAGAGTATAAACCGGGGCCCCAAATGCAGACCTTGATGGCTGTACAACAACTGGGGGTTTTGACGTATTAAGAGCAAGTTTCTAGCCCTGGTTGTTTCGGGGGGGGGGGGGGTGCAGAACCGTGGGGGGTGGGAAGACCAGGGGGGGCGGCGGGGGGTTCTCCCTATCGGGGGGCCCCAGCCCTGGTCCTT